TTCCTTTGTGTATCTAAACTGTCTTTCAATATTTTTTGCAGGGTTGGTTTGGTGTTCATGAAGTTCTTCAGCTGTTCTTTGTCATGGAAGTATCGTATTTCACCATCTATTTTGGGTGATAGTTTTTCAGGATATATCAGTCTTGGTTGGAAATCATTTTGCTTTAGGATCTGGCATACTTCACTCCATGCTCTTCTTGACGTTATCGTTTGTGCTGAGAAGTCTGCTGTGATTCTGATAGGTTTTCCTTTATAAGTGATCTGTCTTTTCTCTCTGACAGCTTTTAATAATCTATTCTTGTGTTGGATTTCTGGGATGGTGATTATTATATGTCTGGGTGTAGTTTTATTTTGGTTATGACTGTTTGGAGTTCTATATGCTTCACTGATCCTGATGTCAGTTTCTGATCTCATGCTTGGGAAATTTTCAGCTATTACCTCTCTAAATATCCTCCTGACATCCTTCATGTTGTCTCCCTCTCTTTCATTAATCCCTATCGTTCTTATGTTATTCTTCTTTGCATCATCTTGCAGTTGTTGAATTGTTGTTTCCTGATTCCTTGTTATTTTCAAAAGATCTTTCCTTTCCTGTTCACTAGCTGCAATCCTGTCTTCAAGGTCTGAAATTCTATCTTCACTTTCATTAAGGCGGTTTTTACAACTTTCAGTGGAGTTTTTTTTAATTTCCTGTATATCTCTGTGCATCTGCATTATGTATTCTGTTTGTTTCTTATATTGCTCGTGTAGGGATTCTATCTTTTTGTTTAGTTCCTCCAATTATTTTATCTGTGTTTTCTTTAGATATATTTAGAATCTCTTTCATTTCTTTTATCATTTCTTCTTTTATCTGGGAGATTATTTCGAGTTTGAATTTCTTTAAAGCTTCCTGGAGTTGCTTGTCAATTTCAGTAGCTATTGTGTCCGATATATGAGGTGGATGGGATATATTTTCTTCTATATACATTGCTCCTAGGGTTTCTTGAGATGGGCTGGAGGTTTGAGGTTGTAATTTGGTCTTTCGTTTTGTCATTTTCCTATATTTCTGTGTTTCAAGTGTTATTTGAAAGTTTCCTCAGGATCTGTTGAAAATCCCCTTCTATGTTTGGAGCTACTGAGACTCTGGCACTGCGCTACCCCAAACCATTGGGCCTACAGAACCAGTGGCCCTTCTCTGCCTGCTCAGAACTCCGCAGTTCCAGACAAGCTGGGCCTCAGGCACACTGTGCGCCCCCTTGCCCCCTTGGATGCTCCACAGTTCTTCAATCGCAGCCAGATTAGGGTACTCACCACAGACCGCAGTGCCTCAGGCACCTGTGGACCCTCCCTGCTTGCAGAGATATCCACAGTCCTCCAGACACACAGCGAGGCCAATGCAGGCACCCCAGATCCGCCCAGCCCCTCCTCTGTACACTGATGGCCAGGTGCGGCAGCTAAACAGGCTGGGCTAGGCTGATAGTGTGGGCCTGCCCACCCGTTGGGAGCTCAGCATTTCTCCAAGTGTAACTGGAATGGGGAGGCTGATGTGGAAGCCTCAAACCCACCTCTCCCCTTCACTGCACCTGGAAGCCTGGGGGGGCTCCAACAGTCTGGGCAGAGATATCCAGAGTCCTCCAGACATGCAGAGAGGCCGGTGAGGACACCCCAGATCTGCCCAGCTCCTCCTCTGCACACCAATGGCCAGGCACGGCAGCTACCTCAATGAACTCTTTTAATCCTTTAGAGTTGTTTTTGTTGGCTCAAATACTATCTTTTGATGCATTATTGGCAATTTTTTATTGGATAGCAGGCATAGTGAAATTTGTCTCAAGAAATGGAATTTTTTTTTTATTTCTGTGAATGCTGTGGAGCGTTGTGCTAGGTTGTAGAACATCTTTAATCTTTTTTGGTTTTCAAAGTTTTTATGCTGAATCAGAACAGCATTTACTAAAGGATTGATTTTGCTCTATTATTGAAACAAAACCTGACTAATAACTCTGCTTGATGATCAGTCTATGAAGTTTTCTGCTATGGCTAGAGATAAAAGGTACTCTTTCTGGACCACTCTGAGTTTCCTCAATTGTCCTCTAATCTTTCTTCTTTTATTTTGGTGGTGGGGGTTAAATATAGTGACCGTGTATGTGCTGAGCATTTTTGTGCTGAAAACTTGAGATTGTCTATAATTCTCCAGAGTTCTCTCTAAGATATTTACTTCTCCAGTACTTCTATCCTGTGAATTCTATCCACCTTCCAGACTCTTGACTCTCATTCATCAATTTAAAAATTATTCCAGGCTTTACATGCCTTAGTCCTGTCTGCAGTATGATATGGAAATTCCTTCAGAATAGTAAGGACGATTGTAGGGCATACATTTTTTTTTTACTTTCATCTTTCAGTATTCATTGTCTTTTGTTGCCTGAAGTCCAATGTCTTAACATATATCATTCATATAATTTGTCTTGCCTGATTTTTAAGTGTTTTAGGCTGGAGAATAACTCCTGACCTTGTCTACTTCATTTTGTCTTGAAATGGTAGTTTGGGAGGCACATTTTAATTGGATAATTATAGTGAAGTCTCTCACTTTCAGAATTTATAGTGTTGAGTGTAGGAGAACTATCATTGATTCCTAGAGCTGTGACACTTATGAATAGAAACGATGCGTTTCTGGGATGCTAGTCAGTGCTTAAGTGGCTAAGGTCTGTGATTTATGTCTGTTTGCTTCCAGTGAAGAAGATGCCAGGCATGAGCATGGAGTGTATCCTTGATATGTTGTTCATTGTAGAAAAGAATTCAGTATGTATAGTGTCTATTTAGACCTTCTAAGGAGGGTCTTTAAAGAAACTTGTTAAAAACTAGTCTCAAAGCATAGATGGACAAAAGTATAACAAGGCTCCAACATTCATAATTTCTTGTGTTAGACTGAAGAATGTTTCGGGGAAAAATTTACTTGTACCCATTTCTAATTTTCTTTTTAAACTCTTCAGACTTCCATTTTCAATGTGGGACTATCTAAAACCATACTAGCACAGATATGCAGTTAGTAAGTTTTGATTCCTAATTCTGGTATATTAGGTAAGAGTAATCATTTTAAATGCATTTCCAAAAGGCAATAAATAATTCATTGAATAGGCTTTAAAGTTTATTCAATATTTACTTCTATAGGCAGCTTATTGTAAGTAGTTATTTGTGGATATTTCGCTTGTGTATATTAAAAGGTTGTTAAATAACTCAAAGTGAAGACTTATTCATTATGCCTTAGAATTAAAAAGGATAGTTTTTATATGTGTTAAAATTTTACAATGATTATTATTTATATAATAAATGGAAAGGTACGTGCTCAAACTTAATTCTCCCAATTCTCTTAGTAGGTTTTTTATTTGTATCTACTATGAAGATTTTGACCAAGGAAATTTCTTCCTAGGGTAATGGGCTTGATATAGACTATGAAATAAGCAATAGTTTATTTGTTTAGAGTTATAAAATACTTTTATTTACTTAGGGTTTTCTCTTATGTTAGGCTTCAGTGGACATTTGAGTTATCTTTGTCCAGAAGTTCAAAAAGTAGCAAGTATTTTATTTTTAAGAAAAACACAAGTGAAATGATATTTTTGTCATTATGATATTCAAATTAATCCTTGTGAAATTTAGATAACAGAAACTATTTGGTTTTGTATCGATCATTTTAAAGATCAAAGTAGACGGGGTATCAAAAATTATCTTTACCTACTGCTTCTCTGAAATTTTGCTAATGACCTAAATCTGTGCTGTAATATGTGATAACCTTAATTCTACAAGGGCAAGCTAGTTGTGAGATTTATCATACTTCATTCAAATTTGAGCTTTCCTATTAATCCAGATATTTTTAATGAAAATTACCCATAACCTGATATTTTTGTCCATCTAAAGACGTTGATAAATTTTAAAAGTTACAACTAATGTTTAAGTAGTTTCCAGTTCTATGTGTAAAGTAATTCATTTGTAAAAGAAAGAAGATGCAATCTTGTAATAACAATCCTTTATGATTGCATAGCATTTTACAGTTTACAAGATTTTCTTTTTTTGATAGGATTCTCAAAATAACCTTGCTAGATATATGTAACAAATACACTTATTTTACAGATTTAGAAATCAAGTCCTAGAAGTCAAAACTGTATGTCTAGTCTAGTGTTATACTACTAATCCTGATTTCAAGTCTAGTACTCTTTTCACTTTGTTGTAGCAACTCTGTCATCAAACACAGAAAAATGGAGAGCCAGAGGCAGCAGTACATACCTACAGTCTCAGTTACTGGAGAGGCTGAGGCAGGAGGATGGCAAGTTTGAGGCCAGCATAGACAACTTACTGAGACTCTGAAAATGAAGAATAAAGACTGTGGATATAGTTTACTGTAAGGTCCTGGGTTCAATTCCCAGCATTGCAGAAAAAAGGAGAAGGAAGTTGGAGAGGAAGAAGAGGAAAATTATGCCTTTGAATTCATAAACTTTATTGTTAGTGAAATAATTAGTAGAAATAATGGAACTTAAAACAAAATATCCTATGTACTTCAGATTTGCAGAGGACATTACTATGTTAAATAAAGCTGACTACTAAAATTAATATTGGTGTTATGATGGTATATAATTAAAAAGATGCATTTAGGGGCTGGGGATTTAGCTCAGTGGCATAAACACCTGCCTTGCAAGCAGGCAGTCGTGAGTTCAATCCCTGGTGCCGATAAAAAGGAAAAAAGAGGAAAAAAAAAAGATGCATTCGGTATGAATTACATTTAATTAAGAAGATATACAAATATATATTTCAAAAAATTTTACACAAAATGTCTAACATTGAAAATTCTTAAAGAAGTTAATTTCATCTATAGTATCTAGAAATCTCTGTTATTCCCAGTGGTTATACCAATCAAATCAAAATTAACTATGCTTATTTTCTTATTATTTGCCTAGCTTTTCTTACCGTTTTTTAAAGAAATATATTTTAAAAATAATCATTACTGAAAGGAAGATTAAATGATAAATTATTTTATTCTAGGTTCTGTTTACAGAAGACGATGTGAAATTCTACCTTGCAGAACTAGCCCTTGCCTTGGATCATCTGCATCGACTAGGAATTGTATATAGAGACCTGAAGCCAGAAAAGTAAAGCTATTTTTTCCATATTTAACACTTTTATCTATATTTGTAGAAGCAGAATTTCATTTTAGCATAGTGGATTAAGGATTTTAAGTATTATAGGGAACTCAAAATTAATTTGATAATTAATTGAAACTTACAACTGCAATCTTCATAATAGAGTTTGATTTTAATTTTATCATTTAAGTTTCTTTAATACAATACATAATTATATTTTTAAATTTATGAAGATGTATGTAAATATTTTATATACACTTTTATTGTATTCTAATATTCTAGAATTTTCTTATATTCTAGTATTGTATTAAAGTTTTTGTATGTAAGTGGCAAAATTTTTCAAAAACAGTATTTGATTTTCTAGGTAAAAATAATAATGTTAATTGCAGTCTAGACTACAGAAGTTATCACAAATATTCATCACATTTGAAGTATAGTGGCCCCTTATCTTTCCCTTCCCTGATTCTTGAAATCATTTGTATGTTGTTATTTCTGTACTTTTGTTATTTTGAGAAAGCTATATAAACTACTATTATAGAAACATACAATAGTCACACTTGAGCATTTATCCTAGACAAATAAAAACTTGTGTTCACACAAAAAACTAACTAGTATGAATATAATAACTTTATTTGTAATTACACTAGATTTAAAATGACACAAATATCATTAAAAGGATGAATGGATAAACAAATACCACCACAGAATGGAATACTATTCAGCCATATAAAGGAAAGAATTCCTGATTCTCACAAAAATTTAGATGGATCTTAAGGCCATTTATGGTAAGTAAGCCATTCTTAGAAGATTATATGTGTTTTCAGTAGATAGATAATTCTATATTCAATTGTCAGTATACTGTAAGAAAATAAAGTAATGATGTGGTCTTTAAGCAGAATTTGGAACTGGTTGCTTTTAAAGTTCTGATGTTCTCACTTTGTAAATTTACTGGATGAATGTGAAAATAGAATATCAAATTAAAACATTTAGAACTGAAGTAAATAGGTCAAAATTAGAGTTTTTGAGTCTTATACATAAGCTCATTCTGGTTTTGTATAGGTTATGTACAACCAAAACTATGTGGGATTGCAGAAGACTGAAAGCAGAAAAAATGATAAAGAAAGAAGACAAAATAATGAGATTGCATAGGGTATATAAAATTTTATTTTAAAGATCCTTTGATACAAAATAAAATTAGAATTTAATTATTCATTTCATTTTGTTAACAAATTGTATCTGTTTTGTCAGAGGTCAGAGAAGGAAATGGGAAAAATAGAATAAAGCCTAGTTTTATCTCTTTACACACTAAGTTGAACTGCAAGAATAGTAGTACTAAGTTGTTTTATACTTAATCGTCTAATTTTGAATTCTGCACATAAATTTTACAGACTTAAACTAAGGGAGGAAAAGTAGTTAGAATAAATATGAATTTATATGCAAGAGTCACATGCTATGTAATAAGCAAATGTGATCAATAAAATTTTAACCATGCACTATTTTCTTTGCAATAATATCAATGTTTCTTTTGATAAAACTATGTAATCCTAAGTATTTAAATGAGTTTTGTTAAAGTATGATACTTTATGTAGGTATTTAAAGTTTTTTTATTTTTGTTTTATTTTCTAAATAATTTTTATTATACAATATTCATGTGACTTTTGAACTAAATAATATGGAATTCGTTGTTATTTATTCAGCGCAAGGGAGTTCAAAAAGTCATTTACAATTTAAATTAGGTCTAATACAGCAAATAACTGAAAACTATGATGAAGCTAAATGGCATCAAGAATATCTATCATTGACGTCTTCACCATTACCTATAGTTAGTAGGCATTTTATTAAAATTGTACCACTCACAGAAAAAAAAGGAAAGTCTGACACAACAGTGCAAAGTATGTTGTTCAAAAAAAAGACAATGACACAAAAAGAATTCAGAAAAAGACAGGGCACAACTGTCCAGATTGTAGCATTATATTGTATATTCAATGCTTAAGATGTTCGATACACTGAAAAATTACTGAATAAATTTGATAAAATTTCCTATTATAAAATTATAGAAAAATGGGCAACTTTGGTCATGTTGCATTTAAATAATTGGACTTGTAAATGATTAAGCTCTTAGAGGAAGTTACTGAGTAGAGGGCTGGGTGCGGTCATATAGAATTTCTAATTCATTTCTTTGAGAAATTTCCATACTGATTTCCATAATGGCTTAACTAATGAGTATTCCCACTAATGATGAAGGAGGTTTTTTTAATCAAAACCTTGTCATCATTTGTTAACTTTAAATTTCTGAATGAGTACCAGTCTTTCTCAAGTAAGATGGAATTTAGTGTTGTTTTTATTTACATTTCCCTAATTCTCAGATATATTGAGCATTTTTCGTATATTTATTGACCACTTATGTTTTTTTTTTTTTTCCTGTAAAGTGTCTGTTCATTTCTGATGCTCATTTCTTGACTGGATTTTTAATTTTATGTGGTTTAAGTTTTTTTTTTTCTTCAGTTCTTTGTATATTCTAGATTTTGGTCCTCTGAAGAGTAGCTAATAAATATATTTTTTCTATTTCTATAGGTTGCCTCTTCTATTTTTTTTCATTTAAAAGAAAAAAAAAAGAAAAAAAAAACAGTATAAGATTACAAGTAATACAAAATTACAAAAAAATACGGTAAGGGGGCTGGGGATTTAGCTCAGCGGCATAAGCGCCTGCCTTGCAAGCAGGCAGTTGTGAGTTCGATCCCCGGTACCGATAAAAAGGAAAAAGACAAAAAAAAAAAAAATACGGTAAGAAGTCACTAGTTAATAGATTACATATTGTCATCTTAGAAACAGTTGTTCAAGTTACAGGATTAAAGCATACAAAGTGGACATTCAAACAGTGAGACTGCAAACAGCTGTGTTCAATGATCCAACAAAACCTCAGTAATATGGTCATCTATCTTAACACACCTAAACACACTTGCAGTTGTATCCTTAAGAGCACATTTTTTCCTCTCTTATTTACAACAAAATTTGCACATTTTGGGTTTTGTTACTCTCATAGTTCTTATTACTTTTTTTGGAAGAGAATAAAACAAAATCTCTTTATTCTATTGGTTGATTCTTTTACTATGCAGAATTTTTTTAGTCTGATATAATCCCATTTGTTGATTCTTGTTTTTATTTTTTGTGCAATTGAGGTACTGTTTGGAAAATCTTTTCCTATATCTATGTCTTTAAATATTTTACCTATTTTATCTTCCAATAGGCTTCATATTTCTGTTTTAACATTTATATCTTTTATTTATTTTCATGTAAATTTAGTATATAGTGAGACATACAAGTCCAACTTCAACCTTCTGATACATATAAGCAATTTTTCAGGCACCACTTGTTGAATAGGATGTCTTTCAACCAATGTATGCTTTTGGCTCCTTTGTTAAAGATTAAATAATTGAATTTGCCTGGGAAGGTTTCTTATCCCCAGTTCTGTTCCATTGGTCTATGTCTCTGTCTTTGTTCCAGTGCCTGTTTTTATCACTCTGACTTTGTAGTGTAGTTTGAAGCCAGATATTGTAATGCCTTCTGCTTGGCTCTTGTTGCCCAAAATTTCTTTTACTGTTCTGGGTCTCTTCTGATTTTATTTTGTATAGATTTTAAGATTATTTTTTGTGGTTCTGTAAAGTATACCATTGGTATTTTGTTCGGGACTGCACTAAACATATATAACAGTTTTGGAAGTATGGCTACTTTGATAATACTGATTCTGGCTATCCAGGGATAGTATCTTTCCATTTTCTAATGTCCTCTTCAATCTTCTTTTTCAGAGAACTGCAGTTTTCTTTGTAGAGGTCTTTCACTTCCTTGGTTCGGTAAATGCCCAGGTATTGCATTTTTCTTGAAGCTACTGTGAACGGTAATATTTTATTATTGCTTTAATTCCATTCATTGTTGGTGTACACAAATGGTAATGATTTTGTGTGTTGACCTTGTACCCTGGTAAAATGCTGAATTTTGTTATTAATTCTAACAGTTGTTTAATGTAGTTCTTTGGTCTTCTATGTAGAGTATCACTTCTTTTTGCAAATAATGCTAATTTGAGTTCTGCTTTTTCCTATGCATATCACTTTGATTTATTTCTCTTGCCCAACTGCCCTGGCTAGTGTTTCAAGTACTATGTTGAACAGTAGAGGTGACACTGGACATCTTTGTTTTGTTCTTGATTTTAGAGAGAGAACTTTTAGCTTTTCCTTATTTAGTATGATGATGGAAATTTTTTTTGTCACATACAGCTTTATATTCAGGTTTGATCCTTCCATACCTGTTTTCTTCAGAATTTTTTTTTATCATGAAGCAGTGTTGGATTTTGCTGCAAGACTTTTCTGCATCTACTGATACGATCATACGGTTTTTTACTTTGCTTCTGTTTATGTCACATATTACATTTATTGATTTGCATATGTTTACCTATCCTTTCATCTCTGGAATGAAAGCTACTCAACCATGACATATGGTATTTTGATAATGTGCAGTATTCTGTTTGCTAATATCTTGTTGAGGATTTTTGCATCTGTGTTTATGAAGAAGATTGACCTATAGTTTTCTTTTTAATTGAGTGTTTTCCTGGTTTGGGGATCAGAGTGATACTGGCTTCCATAAATGAATTTGGGAGCACGCCATCTCTATCAATTTTGAAGTGTTTGACAGTGATTGATAATATAAAAGCCTTAAAATTTTTGTACAATTGTGCTTTGTTTTTGTTACCCAAAAATGTGTTTGTTCTTCTGGGTCTCTTCTGTTTCCTTGTTAACTTTAGGATTGTTTTCCCTAAATCTGTGAGAAATTTCATTGCAATTTTTGTGAAAGATATAGATAATATATATTATCAGCTTTGAAAATTTAGCCAGTTTGATTATATTTGTTCTACCTATCTAGGAACAAAGGATATCTTTTCTTTTCTAAAGTCCTCCCTGGTTTTGTTTTTCAGAACAATATAATTTACTTTGTAAATATCATTTAGTTCTTCTGTC